GGCTTCTCTTCCTGCTAGTCTGATGACTTTCATAGAGATTTATTGCCTAAATAGCCTTTTAATAACACAAATATGGTGTTTTGCTGGGGCTGGCTGTGAGTTGTTGTGGAAAGATAGAGGTCGTTCATCATCAGGAGGGAGGAGGCCAGTAAATCCAGCAGAGGTTTGTGCTCTTGAAACACACAGTGTCCTTTTCCCCTTTCATTTGGAGCCTTTTTCTAGGCTCTGGAATATTCCCAGCAAATCAATGCTAATGGTGGCACTCAGACCCCAGGATGGAACAGGCTGCATGAGGTTTTCCTCATAGGCGAGGACTGAGTCTTTCTTATCCCTCTCCCACCTGATCTGAACCCCCCAGCACTTGGAATGACAGCAGCAACCACGGTGCTTTTTGCCAGGTACCTCATTAAACCCTTGCTTCCATTGTTAAGAACATGTCCCCTGCCGTTGGTCCGGGGTGAGCTTGGCTTCCTCCAGTGTCCACCATGAAAAGCAGGATTTTCCTGGCTGCCAGATCTCACAGCCATGCAGGTTGAGGTCACATCTATGAGTAAAGGTAGAGAATGTCACACTTTGTTCCTGGGAGAGCTGGGACATCTGGGCAGGAGGGAAGTGCAGGAAGCAGGTGCTGAGATTTGGGGGTTTTTAGGGATGTGTGTGTGTCTGTACCTCTGTGTATTTGTACATTTCCAGACACACTGCTCGGGCCAAAATACCTTTGGTGGTTGTGTGTTGCTGTCACTGTACTCCACTATGTTTTCAACTGAGTTCTTCCAGGGTTCCCTCATCCTAGTCCAATGCAAGACAAGCTCAGCTATAAATATGTATCCTATTTAAATGAACAAATGAACTCCTGCATGATATTCCAAGCACATGTAGCAGCTTCGGCATCTCAAGTGTCTGTCGTGAAAGAGAAGTTGGTTTTCTTTGCAGCTGTTTTGTCCTCGTTTCCTTTGAATAGGCCAAATAAATGTAATGGACACCAAATATTGCACAGAAATGTTATTGATGACTGTGTGGAAAAAATACCAAATTTTATTTTTCTTTGCAGAAACTTTATGGTTCCAGAGAGTCCTTTAGCTGTTTTCCTTCCTTAAATGACAAGGCTGAACATTTGTAAAGCATGTCACAAAATGGTCATTTGGAAAAAGTGGAACTACCCAAAGTTTTCTCTTTGTCATGTTGCATCCAAAGGAGCTGCAGCATCTCAAACACCAACTGGGGTTTGAATTTGAGGCTCAGCAGTTCAGAAACTGCCTTAGAAAACAAAAGGCTCGATTCCTTTTCCTGGCATGGCACTTGCACACAGTGATCTGCTCATTAAGGAGTTCCAGGTTTTCCTGTTGTTTAAATTAAAATCACCTTCTTCAATTTCCAAATTGGAAAACCAATTTAGTTTGGTTCCTCAACCTGAGCAGCTTCACCTGAATTTTTCCACCTCACCTTCCCTTGCCCCTGGGAGTACAAGGGATGCCCAGGAGGGAAAAATACATCCCCACCTAAAGAGAGCATCTGCTGTAATTAAAGGGCTTTTGATGCCCTTGCAACCTGATAAAATTTTGAGGAAAATGTAGAGCATAGTTCAATTTGACCTGCTCTGGCACATTTATTCTTAAATTTGAAAGTTTGGGGTGAAGCTCTGGGAGCATTTAGTCAAACTCAGTGTCACCTTATTTACTGTGCACCTACTCAGACCTTAGCGACAGCCAAATTGTAATAAATTACCCCAAAATTCAGATTTTTCTCTCAACAAATTGGCAGTTCCCAATGTGAATTTGTTTTGTCTGATGTAACATGAACACTAAGCCCTTTAAGTAGCCAAATGACCAGCTTATTTTAAATGCCTCGTATTACTAGAAAGCTGCATATAGGCATCTCATAGCGGGGAAAAAATTAAAAAAAAAAAAAAAAAGAAAAAGAATATTTAGTTCCTTTGTGAACTGGCCATATGACAACTACTTTTTTATCAACTTATTAAGTTGGGGCACTATAATAGCTCTTGCTGAGTTTAGCAATGTTTATAAGCATGTGTTAAACACATAATGTTGTTTTATGAGGAAAAAGGGATAAAGAAAAGTGATGTCACAGATGAATGTTTGAGTGCGTAGACGGCATAATGTATGTATGATTTTTATTTCTACACTGTTGAGCTTATTTTCTGTTTAAAGGTTAAAAAATTGTTGCATGAGAACTGTTTTATTGTGTTCTGCACTTTCTGTTCTTTTTGTATAATCTTGATTTTTTTTTTCATTTATGCATAGAAAAGAAAAAAAAATCAGTTTAGAAATATTCTACTCCACGAGACATTGTGTTCCAATCTGTTGTTCCGAAGTTCAATCTTAATAAACATTTCAGTAAGAGTTGGTGGCTCGTGTCCCTGTGGTGTTTGTAGGGGATACCTGGTCCTTGAGCTGTGCAAAGCAAATAGCACTCACCTGCACCCCAGAGCTTTGTGAATATTTCCAAAAACACTACTGCCAAATGTTGCCTGGCAAGAATGCAGGTGTTGCAATTCAGAAACGGTTCTAAACTCAGCTGACACTTGCAGGGTTCAGGTGTAACCCAGGAGAGAGCACAGGTGGAACAAAATGGGGATACCTGGGGCAGGTGTGTGTCCCCAGCTCCAGGCTCTGCTCTGACAAAGGGCTGTCACACAGAATCACACAGAATCACTCATGCCATCACTAGGGTTGAAGAGTGAGGGTCTCCCCAATCACCTCTGAGTCTATGATTTAATAGCCACAAGCAGCTCCCAAAGAAATCAGTTCACATCCAAACTCATCAGCCTCTCGGACCATTGCGAACAAGAGAGGAAAGCTGGAGCCAGATCACAAACACCAGCTGATGGGTAAACTTATAGTGAAGAGCTCATTTGTCCCATTTGATTTCCTGACAGATTTCATCTGTGAGTCTTCCTAAAGGAAATTCCTCAGAACAGCTACTGGCAGCTCTGAGAAGTCAATGCCTGCCTGGGGTTTGGTTCATTTTTCATAGAATCATCACAGAATTGATTACACTGGAAAATACCTCCAAGATTGAGTCCAGCCTATGACCAATCACCACCTTTGTTAAGTAGACCAGAGGACTGAGTGTCACATCCAGTCTTTGCTTAAACACCTCGAGGAAGTGACTCCACCACCTCCCTGGGCAGCTCCTATCAGTGCTTGGCAACCCTTTCCAATGACAGCCTTCCGAAAGGTGCCAAAACCGAGAAACACCACTCAAAGTGTGGCCTCCCCTGTGCCCAGCACAGAGGGACAGTCACCCCCCTGGTCCTGCTGGGCACATTAGTGCTGACACAGAAGCCCAGGATGCCACTCACCTCCTTGCCAACTTGGGCAAACAGCGGCTCACATTTGGCTACTCTCAGCCAGCACCCCAAGGCCTTTCCTGCCGGGCACATTTCCAGCCACTCTGCCCCCAGCCTGGGCCACAGCAGGGGCTTCTTGGGACACAAGGGCAGCGCCAAGGCCATGCTCTCCTTGAACCTCATCCCGCTGGCCTCACACCTCCCAGCCAGCCTTGCTACATCTGCCTCCAGAGCCGTCCTAATCTCCAGAAAATCAACACTCCCACCCACACTGGTGTCATCACTAAGTTATTACTGAGGGTACCCTGCATGCCCTTGCCCACACCCGCAGGACACACACTGAACAGGACTGGGCCCAGGGCACACAGCTCGTGAGCAGACACCGCTGGATGTGGCACCATTCCCCACCACTCTCTGCACGTGGCCATCCTGACAGTCCTTAACCCAGCAAAGAGCGCCCCTGCCCAAGCCCTGGGCTGACGGCTTTTCCAGGACTGTGCTGTGGGAGATGGAATCAAAGGCTTTGCACAAATCCAGGGAGATTCCACACCCTGCTTGCCCCTCAGGACTGGGGCGAGCCACCCACAGCCCGAGGGAAATCAGGTTGCACAGGCAGGTCCTGCCTTTTCTAAACCCACGCTCACTGAGGGACACTGATCCCTCAGCTGTCCTCTCTGGGCCCTGTCATCCCCCTCACCATCATCTGCTCCAGAACCTTGCTGGGCCCTGAGATCAGCCTGACAGGCCTGCAGCTCCCCACATCCTCCCTCTGGCCCTTCTTCGACATGGATGTCACGCTGCCACCTCCACTCATCTGGGCCTTCCCCAACTGACCAAGAGTGATGGCAAAATAGATTGATGAGAGGCTTAGCCAGCACTTCCATGGGCTCCCTCAGCCTCCCTGGGAGATTCTGGGCCAGACCCCCAGACTTGGCAGCGTCCAAGTGGCTGCACAGGTCACTGACGAACTTCCTCCAGGATTGCAGGGGGTCTGCTCTGCTCCCTGTCCCTGTGTGCCAGCTCAGGGCACTGACAATCTCTGCTTGTCCTCAGGATAACCAATGACTGTTGAAGGCCCAGGCAAAGAATGCATTCTGTACCTCAGCCTTTTATCCCCACATTGAATAAGAAGGGCGATTTCCCTTGGTAGTCCTGTGTTCCTAAACTTTTTGAAAAAAGACGCTTTATTTTCTTTAAAAGGAGTAGCCAGATGAAATTCAAAGAGGTTTTGTCTATTCTGATGATATTTCTACCTGGGCTCGAGGCTGGGACACATGCTGGGCTGGGTGGGAATCACACTTTGGCCCAGCACAGGGCTTCTTTGGGGATATTTAGGAGCGGATCACAAAAGGCGGGAGCGAGAGAGTTTCAGGTCAATGAGAGAAGAACAAGCATAGGCAAACCAAGGGGCAACAGCCTATAGAAGGCCTTTGTGACCAGGGACATCAGCATGGAAACCGCCAGGCCTCGGGGACTGGGGATGGGCAGCAATGCCCACCAGGCCTTTGTGACCCGCAGTGACATCGTGCCCAGAGACCATTGTGACACGGGTCCATGTTGCACATCTTGGGGCTACCTCACCCGGCAGTGGCCACTCCCAGGAGAGCAGCTCTCTGAGGAAGCCGCAGCTTCTCAAGACGCAACAGCTCCCTGGGTGATTCTGGCCAGTTTCTGGCAAAAAACGCCCAAGATGTGGAAGCAGCAGCAGGAGGCGAATGCTCACGGGTATCCCCGTCAGTGGCAGCCACTGCTGCACAAACGGCATGGGCCTGCAGCAGGGCAGGGCTATGGCCTAACACCCCATCCAGCCGCATGGGGTGTGCCGCTCTGCACTGCAACCCAGCCGTCATGGAAGCACCTGGAGCACTCTGAGACAGAGGAGCTCATCAAGGTGCAGGTAGGACATGGGGGCAAAACCTGCAGCGACCTGTTGGCAGGCCTGGGCCCCTATCTGCGGGAGAACAAGTCCATCAAGACCTCCTCGAGAACCTCCAAGGGGATAAGAGACCGCCAGGAGCCGCAGGGAATTCCCTGGCCAGCCAAGCAAACTGTGGGTCGCAAGCAGCTGTGCACAGAGGATGATGAGGCTACGATGCATCGTCTACGGAAAATGAGGGAGGAGCTCCAGGAGACAGAAGACAAAGTCTATGATGAGATGTTTAGAGCCGTCTTTTCCGCACTGGACAAGAAAGAAAGCCCCATGAGGTCCAGCAGTATCCTCAGAGATCCACCGAGCCCCATCCTGGAGCCTGCTGCAGGCCATTTGGAGAGGCACAGCGCATTCTGTGTGACCAACGATGCTGCAGGAGAGGCACCAAAGCACTCGGAGTTTGTGTCTCTTGACCATTTGTTGGCCGAGCTGTGCCCTGTCTCTCAGGACTCGCTGTCCAGTGATGCTCTCGTAAAGGAGCTCGTGGAAAACTGGGAGCAAGAGGAGCTCCCTGACAGAGAAGTGGCAGGAGAGAGGGACAGAGAGCCAGAGAGTGCCTTGTTTCTCCCTCCGCAAGACAAAGAAGGATGTGTCCGCTGGGACGTGTCAAGTGTCACCCCAGAACTTGCTGAAGGCTCACAGGGGCTCTGCAGCATTTTGGGCCTGACCAAAGACTCAGTGGGAGAGACAGACACAGAGACGGCACCTCCTGACCGGCTGGCACACCTGCGCTCTGCCTCTGGCCACGAACCCTCCTGCGACGCTCTTCTACACGAGAGCCTGGAAAGCTGGGAGGAAGGAAAGCTCCTTGGCAGAGCAGCAGCAGTAGAGAAGGACAGCGAGCTAGAGAGCCCATTGTCTCTCCCACCGGAAGAAGAAGACGAAGAGCCAGCACCTTCTTCTCAGGAGAGCAATCCCTGCGGCAAGGGGCACAGCGAGCCTGTTCCCAGGGCGCTGCCCGAAGAGCCAAAGGGGTTCAGGGTTTGCGCCTCGCCTGCCGATGCCGCGGAGGAGGCCGGTGCAGCAGGCATGGAGGCTGGCTGTGCCCGGGCTGCCCCTCCCCAGGAAAAGCCCTGTGGGGATGAGCCGCCAGCAGGGCCGTGCCCGGTGCCTGCCCAGCCCCTGGCACGCAGCGTTCCAGCCTGCCCCGCTGGCAGCGCAGCCGTCCCGCAGCCCCCGGCCCCACGGCGATGGCGCTCCATGGCCAAGAGGGCCCGGCGGGCTCTGCGCCGCCTTTTCTCCTTCAGCTGCCTCTGCGGGCAGCCGGAGCAGTGAGCCCGGGGCCAGCACTGGGACGCTCACCAAAGATGCCTCAGGGCTCACCCTGGGCACACTGAGCTCCCAGGGGCAGCGGCAGGTCCTGGAGACAGTCGCACCAGGAAGAGTAAAACACCTGATGCACTGAATGGATGGATGGCGCCCAAGGCAACCACCTCCTAAAGGTAGGTCCTGCTGCCGGCCCCAGCCCCTCACCCCCAAGCCAACAGCAAGGCAGCCTGGTCAGGGACAGCTGGCTAAGCAAGGATGACAGCTGCCTGGTAGAATCCCAGAGGAGCTTACTCTAGGCCTCGGCTACTTTTTCCAGGGACATCCCCACCCTTCCCTCAAGGCTGCATTAGGAGCTGACAACTTCTACTTGGGCCTCAGCCTTGCAGGTAAATGGAGGCAAGCTCATTCTCTCTTCACATGGCAAATAGGAAAACACCTCCCTGGATACTTGTTACATAAATTGGAGAAAGCTGTTAACTCCTGATGAATGACCCAAGGGCTTCACCTTCACAGGAACCTCCGGGACTCCCAGTGCAGAGACATGCAGGGTCAGGACGGACCGAGAGGATGCTGCTGGAATCAAGCATCTTGGACTGACCTCTGCTTGATCTCTCCCCTCCCCACCCTACTCTTGCTCTTCCACATATCACCCCACCCTCAGTCTTCCGCACAACATCCTCACTCCTCACCCTCTTTTCTTCCCGCCCCCCTCTGTCCCATCCCTATCTCTCTTCCCCACCTATCTTGTTCAATAAAATCCCCATTGTTAACTTCTGTAAATGGTCTCCTTGGCACCTTCATTTGCGCACAGAAATATCTCACTAATCCCATCTCAACAGGGCCATACATCTACACACAGCACTCCAGGTCTGGCCTCCCCAGGGCCTGACACAGAGTGACAGTCACGCTGCAGCCTGGTCCTGGTGGCCACATTAGTGCTGACACAGAAGCCCAGGATGCCACTCACCTCCTCGCCAACTTGGGCAAACAGCGGCTCACATTTGGCTACTCTCAGCCAGCACCCCAAGGCCTTTCCTGCCGGGCACATTTCCAGCCACTCTGCCCCCAGCCTGGGCCACAGCAGGGGCTTCTTGGGACACAAGGGCAGCACCGAGGCCTTGCTCTCCTTGAACCTCACCCCGCTGGCCTCACACCTCCCAGCCAGCCTTGCTACATCTGCCTCCAGAGCCGTCCTAATCTCCAGAAAATCAACACTCCCACCCACATTGGTGTCATCACTAAGTTATTACTGAGGGTACCCTGCATGCCCTTGCCCACACCCGCAGGACACACACTGAACAGGACTGGGCCCAGGGCACACAGCTCATGAGCAGACACCGCTGGATGCGGCACCATTCCCCACCACTCTCTGCACGTGGCCATCCTGACAGTCCTTAACCCAGCAAAGAGCGCCCCTGCCCAAGCCCTGGGCTGACGGCTTTTCCAGGACTGTGCTGTGGGAGATGGCATCAAAGGCTTTGCACAAATCCATGGAGATTCCACACCCTGCTTGCCCCTCAGGACTGGGGCGAGCCACCCACAGCCCAAGGGACATCAGGTTGTGCAGGCACGTCCTGCCTTTTCTAAACCCACGCTCACTGAGGGACACTGATCCCTCAGCTGTCCTCTCTGGGCCCTGTCATCCCCCTCACCATCATCTGCTCCAGAACCTTGCTGGGCCCTGAGATCAGCCTGACAGGCCTGCAGCTCCCCACATCCTCCCTCTGGCCCTTCTTCGACATGGATGTCACGCTGCCACCTCCACTCATCTGGGCCTTCCCCGACTGACCAAGAATGATGGCAAAATAGATTGATGAGAGGCTTAGCCAGCTCTTCCATGGGCTCCCTCAGCCTCCCTGAGAGATTCTGGGCCAGACCCCCAGACTTGGCAGCGTCCAAGTGGCTGCACAGGTCACTGACGAACTTCCTCCAGGATTGCAGGGGGTCTGCTCTGCTCCCTGTCCCTGTGTGCCAGCTCAGGGCACTGTTTGTCCTCAGGATAACCAATGACTGTTGAAGGCCCAGGCAAAGAAGGCATTCTGTACCTCAGCCTTTTACTCATCCCTTGTGATCACATTTCCCTCATCTCACATTGATTTCAGAAGGGTGATTTCCCTTGGTGCTCCTGTGCTCCTAAACTTTTTGAAAAAAAATGCTTTATTGTCTTTAAAAGGAGTAGCCAGATGAAATTCAAAGAGGTTTTGTCTATTCTGATGATATTTCTACCTGGGTTCAAGACTGGGACACATGCTGGGCTGGGTGGGAATCACACTTTGGCACGACATGTACAAGAAGACAAGTTCTCTCTTCACATGGCAGATAGGAAAATGCCTCCCTGGATACCAACAACAACATAATCTGGAGAAAGGTGTTAACCCTGAATGAGCGACCTGTAGTCCCCAACTCTATAGAGGAACCACGTGGACCCCAGTGCAGAGAAACACGGGGTGACAAAAGACTGACACGACACTGCTGGAGCCAAGCTTCTTGGCCTGTTGTCTGTTTAATCTCTTCCTCACCTCACCCCAGCCCTGCTCTTCCCCATGCCTCACCCCCCTCCACTGTTCCCCAGCCCATCATATCTCAAAAAGGGGCTAGGGACAGCCACCCAGCAGGGCTAGAGATGAGTTTCAGCAGAACAGTGGCTGAAATCCTGGGGACAAGGGTGGCTGGTGGTAGCATTCTGTTCGTTTGTGTAGCAGTGTCCCTGTCCTGACAGCTGGGGTGGCATAAAGTCACCCACTGCTTTCGAGAGCAGGGGACCTGTGTCAAGACACCCGAGAACTCATCTTGGAGAAGGAAGCAAAATGCCAGAAGGAATCCTGCAGGTTACAGTGGCAGATGACAGGAATGCAAACAGGTAAGGAATGCACATCAGGGGGTGAAGATGGAGTTTAGTTCCATTTGCCTCCAAAAGAACTCAGCTGGCACTGAAGGAAAATGGGGCCTGGTCCCTTAAAACCCCCCAGCAGCCTGTGAGCACAGGCTGAGGCTGTTTCCTCCCTCCCTGCATGGCCCTACTGGGGAGATCGCTGCCAGCACGAAACAGCCTGAATTTCCAAGTGACTCCCACCTCCACAGAGGGGTTATTTCTGGAAGCAGACACTGCCACCCCTAGGTTTGATCAAAGAATCGCAGAACAGCTCAATTTGGAAGTGACCTATATAGATCACTGAGTCCAACTCCCTTCTCTACACAGTGCCTCCAAAAACTGGACCATAGGATGAAGACCACCATGGGCTCCTAGCAGGTCTCTCTGCTCCTCTCAGGTTTTTCAGGTTGGGAGACCAGGGAAAAAAAAAAACAACAAAAAAACAGCAGCAAAAAGGAGTTGAACAAACATTAGCTTTGAGGTTCCCAAGAAACAGGCAACATTTCCCTGCAGCCATAGGGCCAGAGAGGGGTGGGGAGTGCTCAGCCCAGTCACTCACAGCCTCCCTTCTCCTGCCAGGGCAGCTCCTGCTCCCTTTGTCCCTTCTCTGGGAGACAGAGACTCACAGAGGCAACTACACCTGGCCAAGCTCTCAGCTGGCAGAGGGGAAAAGAGCAGCTCTGAGGAGCTCAGAGGTGCCTTCCCACCACATAGGGGCCCACAGGAAGTACCTGAAACTCTACTGAAAACTGAACAGAACCTCACAGTGCTGTGACTGCAGGTCCATTCCCACAGCTGAAATCCTGGAGCAAAGCTGAGATGGTCAGTGAGCACCTAAAAACCAGCTAAGAAGACAAAAACAAGTCTAAAAAGTATGCCAGGAGTGAAAATCAGTAAAGGCAGCAACAGGTGGGCAGCAGGTTCGTACAGCTGGTTCATTTCTGCAGTCAGGGAAAGTTCATTAACAGCCCTTGTGTGTCTTTGAATTCAGTAAATAATCCTTGTCACTTACCCCAAGCAGCTTAAGCAAGCCAGGGGAGGAAAGAAAAAACCTGAAAGTCACAGATATGAGGCTCAAAGGTGGACACATTACAGCAGAAGCTGTTTCAGAAAGGAGAACATGCACAGAGAAAATCCCAGGCAATTATTCATTACAGCACACAGAGAGGAGCAAGTCAGTGCTAAAATCATCATTCTTGAGTATCAACAGGAAAACAAACAAAGTACAGAGGTCAGAGTATCAATATAGTGTTTAATATTCTTAAATTGATATAAAAGCTAAAAAAAGTAAAATTTTTGTTACCATGCTATGATAAAAATTTTATCAGCAGAAATATTATACAGAGTCATAAAATTTCTAGTCATAATATTTTCCACTTGCTTATACTCTTCTATTTAGCCTTTCACTGGTTTATATTTATTAAGAAAAGTAGCAGCCCATTTTGTCCTTCTATTTACAGTCTTTTAGACACTGTGTTCCACTCTGCACTGATGCAGATAAAACTATTCTGCACAGATGCATTGTTTTACTTTGCAGATAAATGTCACCAGTGGAAAAACCACTGTGGACCAAGCACCAATCAGGGAATGCTGCTCTGGAGACTCCTCCAGGCTGCAGCCCCTGGTGCGTGTCCAGGGATTGAGGAGGGGTTTCAGAACTGTGCAGAACTTAAAATACCCAAAGTAACAGCAGTTCCTCTGATTGCAGGAACAAGAACTGAAGGAAGGAGGAGCAGAGGTTAGTCTGCATGGAGACTGAGAGATATTTCCAAAAGCAAATATAATATATACAGGAATTAAATAAATTAATGCTTCAGTTAAAAAAAATCAGTTTCACAAACTGTTCCAAATGCCAAGTTCTGTGCATTGTTTTCAAAGAAAAAAATACATTTAAAAACCTAAAATATTCATTGGAAATACCTTGTTTCAGCTGGAGGAGCTTTCAGTGCTGTAGGGAGAGCCTGTCTGTGCCTTCATTATAAACAAAACAGCCCCAGAAATCCCATCAAGGGTAAGGGACACTGCCCACCTACAGCTCTGAGCTCAGAAAGATGATCACAGTGACAAGTCTGTGCACTTGTCTTTTTCCTTTCAGTGCCCTTTTCCACCTATTACAGGCTGTAAAGACATCGTTAAATCCTTTTTTTTAAGCAACATTGCACTGCTGAGAGAGAGCTCCCATGGAATTCCTGAGCTGGCTCTGATGTTTCCAATGTGACCTGCCCCACACAGGTAACCCCAACCCTCCACACCACCTCATGCCCAGCTGGGAAGACAGTGACCTGCCTTCTCCCATTTCTGTTCCTTTACCAAATGTGCCGGAGCGGGACAGGGTGTGAGGCAAGATTTGCTTTGATTTCCATTTTATACAACACAGGGACGGAAACCCAATAAATACACAATAATAACACTGGCAGGTGGTTGAAGTAGATGCAAAATGCTGAAGTAAACACAGTCCCAGGTCTTTGTCTTTCCCCAGAGGAGGCAGACACATTTGGAATAGGGTGATTATCCAGCCTTCCAAATGGCAATCTTCCCTTCTTCCTTCCCAGAGCCGCTGAGGACGTACCTGTCCTCTGCCGAGCACAGCGCCTTCACCGCATCGGCGTGGCCGACCAGCTCCTTCTCCACACTCTTCCTCTCAGCACTGACCACGTAGATCTTCCCTTTGCTCTTGCCCTGCAGCTTCCCACTGCTACCAACCCACAGCTGGGGGAACAAAATATACCCACAGTCATTTTCACTATTTCACATTTCAGTCCAGGACACAGTCAAGGAGGTTTATGGGGCATATTGGTACAGTGAGGGTTCCCTCATGTTTGGCTGGAAAAGGGAAACACTGAAAATTTCCTCATCAGGATAAATAAGGGGCTTGGCCACCATGGCTCCCGGCCACCTCCAAG